ATGTATAAAGAAGCAGGTGAGTCTTTTGTTTTTGCTGAGAACAGTTTGCATGGGCTTATTCCTAGCCTGAAATTGTATTCAGTTTGTGTCATGAAGCATGAGGATTGATAGCCCTTGTCATTTGCTCCCAGCCAGTCTAACTGCAGTTATCTTAGCAAAGCACACCCCATTGCCGTTGGACTCCTCTGGAGAGCAATTAGTGGAGCTCAACAGCTTAACAATAGCAGGGCAGGGGCAGTGTGGCCACAGCCAGCCTGCACAAGAAGTGAATCTTACATGCTCCAGTGCTCTCCATGTCTCCCTGAGCCACAGCTGGTGGCTCTGGTGGTAGCAGGAGGCTGGCAGGGTGCTTTGAGGTGGCTGATGGGGTAACATAACACCATGGGGAGACAGAGCAAAAAGTGTAATTATTACTAGTTTTCACATTATGGTTCCTAAAGTACAGAGATGACTGTAATATTGAGTACAAATACCAGATTGATTTCCTGACCAGTAATTCTATTGTACTGTAAACCAGTGTTACACAGTACAGCAAAATGATAATCTTGATCCAACCCCCAGATACAGCAAACAGCACTACAGGGAATGTATAATAAGCAAGGTGCTAAACAATATAGTTCCAACTAAATCTTCTGAAATAACTCTGAAAAATATTTATAACAATTTGGTTTTAACACATCCTGGTCAGATCTGCTATTATCTCCCCCCTTTGTGCCCCAAGCAGCACACCAGAAAGAACTGTCGTGATTAAACCCAGGCAGATAAGCACTGTGCAGCCATTCCCACAACCATCACAAATCCTTCTTGATGTCTTGAGCATCTTGAGCAGTTGAGGTTGAGGCTCTGGCAGTCTCTGTTAGGGATATCTTAAATTATTCATGCCAGACTCCTCAGCCACTACTATTTATATTATGGTATTCTTGGTGTTACATTTCCCCTCGTGGCATGCTGCTGTGCCAAAGTCTTTTGTAGACCTGGATTTCAAAAGAATACAAGCTTTTCCCCTTCTCCATCGCTGGAATGTCTGAAGAGCATGAGCAACACCCAAAATACAGATGAGGTTAAAGATCCAGCAAGGCAGAAAGTTCTGTATTTCTACCTTGCCCTTCTTCCTTGTCTCCATTTCCCAGATAGACAAAATGACAACTCCTTCTCTGGGTTGTATACCAAAACTGAGACAGGAGGAGCATGGTACCCAGCTGTGATGGAAGGCAGAGAGATGTGATAAGGTTGATGCTGTACTCACAGCTGCACTAACAACCAGACTCAGGAAGAGCATGCACTTCAGCGGCATGCAAGGTTGCAGCAGCATGACTTTTGGATGGCCTTCACTTGCACAGCCTGCATTACTGGAACAAGATATTGGGTCCTTGACCTGAATTTTCATGCTCTACCTCAAGTGAGTGCCATGAAGAAGCACAATGTGTTCACCTCCAGCTCACAGACGCGTTTGGAGACAGGAAACAAGTTTAAGTGGAGTTTGGCAGCACATGGGGCAAACTTTTCCTGACAGCCAAAGCAGTGATATTGAGCACTACCATTCTCCACTGTACACATCTTTGCCTGACCTTATCCTGGATGCATCCCCTTCAACTTACTTCTTTAAAGAGCCTAATAGATTTCCTTTAGCTTGAGGCAGAGCAAACCTCTGCTGGTTTGAACTAATGTAGAAGTATTAGAAAAGATTGGTGCTGGGAATTTTTTTTCTCTCTTCCCCTTTCTGTGCAGTAGGAAGAAAACGTATGACCTAAATCTGCCAAGCACCTTCAAAGGGAAGGAAGAAACACATGTGGAAAAGCATTAGAAAGCCACCCAGCTTCCTTTAATTATGATGAGAATGCCAACATTGCTAAATGAATAGAAAATAAACGGAATAAGTATTAAATGATTATGGTTTTCCTCACATATTTCTTTTCATCTATTCACCAGCAGATAGCTTTATAACGTAAATAAATCTTTTCAGATGTAAACAAGTCTCCAGCACACGCTGCTCGAGTAGGTGATGGGGCCGTTGGCAGCTCGGTGTGGAGGAAACGACGATCTCCAGCACCCCCTGCAGCATCCTCGCCAAAAGACAGGCTCCGAGCCCACTTCAGGTGGGCTCCAGTTCACTACTGACTGTTAGCATTTCTTCTGTTAGAGTAATTAGATTTATACGCACACAAAGTTTATGCGAAATACGTTTATGTGCAGGCTTTAATAGCACGTTTCTTGGTTTCATCCCTGCAGCGTGGGAAAAGCAGTATCTGTGGGAGCCCAGTCCCTCACTGAGCATCACAAAGAGCTATGCAGATCTGTGGCAGCCAAGTTCCTTCCTGCCCTGCTGTCCACAGAGAGATGTCCCCAATTCGGTCTCACTACCTTTCAGAGGTCCCAGTGCAGATGGGCTGCAGAGCTGCTGGTGGCCCCCATTACGTGGGTGAAGCACAGCTGTGAACTTTTACATACTTAGAATCAGGATGGCCTGAGCTTGCTTTTTTCAAGTGCAAGGGAAAAGAAAATCCACAAATTGTTCTCTCTGCTAAAATGCCTCGCAGGCAGGTTCTGAGCAGTGCTAATTTGGCTCATCCCCATGGACCTCTCCAGTGACAATTACACAGCCAGAACCCCTCCTGTGTGGGGCATTTCATGCTGCTCAGGCATAAGTATAGGAAGAGGACTGTTTGTACTGTATTTAAATTCTTTGCAATGCTATTCTTGAATGCCACAAGCCCCTGCCCTGCAGCACCTTACCCTTCTCTACCTTTCTGCTAAGTATCTGATGTGACTTTTTTCCTCTGTCCTGTCCTCTTGTCAAGTCATGCTCCTGCAGAGCAGCTGCTGCTGGAGCAGATGTAAAATGGTTCAGTAACACTCGCTAATATTAGCTTTGACACTGGTACAGAGACAAAATAAATTCTTTTCTGGGGGAGAAGCACAAATTACTTAATGCAGCAGATGAGAGCACTGTCCGTGACAATGCTGGAAGAGAGCTTGTTTAATATCTGCCTGAACAGAACACGCACGTAAGGCAGAATGACTCTCGCTTAGCAGCCAGGATGCAGCCTGCCACAACCTGCCCTACTCACTTGGGGCCATTTCTCCTTATCCTTGTGGGATCCTGGTCGTTAATCTAGGATCTGCTTATCAGTTTACAAAATGCTGCCTCTGAGGGCCTCAGCTTCAAGGTGAAGTGCTTCATGCAGTGGGCTTTCCATAGCAATTCTAGCAAGCTCTGGCACCAGCAGGGAAGTAGCAAAGCGTGTTTAGATGGGGCAGCTTTTCACTTGTATTTGAACAGACACAGGTCAAAGGAGGTGAAGTTGGCTGGGGAGCAGCACCCAAGCATTGACCCATCCTCTCCTGTTATGCGTTTGGCTGGAAGTGTGCCACAGCCTGGCTGGTCATTGGCAGGAGGAGAGGTGTCTGCATATACAGCAAAGCTAGATAGAGAATGGAGAGCCTCCTCCAGGGGCATAGAAGGGATTTGAGGGTTACATGCCTTACTCAGCAGCCAAATCCCCTCTATATTCTGTACTGTGAGGCTTCTACAACCAGCTTTTCCAGCAGCCTGGACAAAGGTGGAATTACAGCCAGTGCTATTGTACAGAAATGAATCGCTCCCATCTGCAAGAACATCTCTGTCCCCTGCTTGCCTGCACAGCTCCTCCCTGGAGGAATGGATTTACTCTGCCCTCACTGACTTCTCTGACACAGTATTTTGTTTGGCCAGAGATAAATGTGTGTGTTCTGAAGGAGAATCAAATCTGACTGCCGTTTTCCATGTGTACCAGCCCCAGTAGGAGATTTTATCTAACTCCAAATCTCAGGTGGAAGAGGGATTATTCACTGATGGGATGACCTAGTATGCAAATTATTATGTTCCTGACCTGGAAACTCCTGTTGTTTCTCCTTTGTTCTGCTTTCAGGATGAAAGAACTGAAAGCATTTCAGCAAAGTCAGTACCAGCCACCCCAGTGGGAAATGCCATCAAAGAGTCCCTTTTCAGCAGTGCTACGCTGCTGAACGCAGGTCAGGAAATAAAGAAAGGTGGTCGAACTCAGGACCTGCACCCACTGACACCACTGGTAATTGGCCCTTTGCTCCTCTGAGTAGCGTGCTGGAGCTGTAATGGAAATCTCTGCCTGCTGTGCAAGTGTTGATCTGTTAATCACTGAGCGCATGCCGGCCCCGGCTGTTAGCTGATTCTGTGGACAATTTTTGCTTGGCTTATGGATCACTGCTGCATGTGCAACACAGAGCATTATATTCAGGCAGAAAGAAAGTAATGAATTCAGCACTGAGAAGTAAGAAACTAAACTGTTTAGATAACCTTAGGCTTTTTCTGCTAAGAAAATCAATACAACTAGAAGCTTAGAAACTACTGACATTGCCAGCAGAGTCCAGCTACAGAGCCATGGAAAACCCAATGTAAATGACTAAGCCAGTTTACTTTCCATATTTTGGCTTGTATTACTTTGCTGTTGTTTGTTTTTATTTTTTAATTCACAAAATTCCTACCAGTTTGCACATCTCTTAAGATATCTTTGTCTGCAAGGCCTAATTCTTTTTAATCCAAAATATAATTTCACAGTCTGACATATTCTCTTTTGTTGTTATATTTTTAGTCTAGAGAAACCTGACATGGAAATACTGTGCTAGCTCATAGTTTCCAGTATAGGTAGCTTACTCTCTGCATTCTATTCACACGTTGATATTCTTGCTGCAATGGCCGACAAGGGTGCTAATTAGCAGCTACGCACCTCCTGGCAGGTTGTATGGGCACACATCAAGCAGCACCTGACTTGAATTTAATTAACAATCACCATTTCACTGCTTTAGTATTTGTTTTGCAGTAATACCAAAAGACCCTAGCCAGCTGAAGGCACAGAAGAGAGAGAGGCAATGATAAATGCTGTAGAGGACTAATAGACCTCAGTGACTCTGACCAGCCACACTTGGGCCCGGCAGGTGTATTTAAGATCAGGCCAGGGAGCTGACCTTTTTCCCCATCTGTCTTATGAGTTTGCTTGGTCTTAGCCCTGCTTCTGATTTTGTTTTCAGGGTGGACTTGGTTGTATCTTGTCAATGACTTCTTTCCAGCCCGGTCTCATGGATGTACCTTAGATTCCTGCTTTTGTTATGCCTCTAGTACTTCTTGTGTAAAAATGCTCCTATGTGTGTTCTTTAGATGGTTCATGGTCTCCGTCTGTCACCTTGTGTTACCTGGAGCTGTGGAGTTTCTTAGCACCCAGCTTGCTTTCTCTTATGGAAAGCCTGACTCTTATTGGTCTTTTGACATAAGGGCAGAGCTGCCTACACCGGAGGAATTTCCATCAAAGAGGGAGCAAGGGATAAAGACCATCCTTGCTGTCTGCAGTGAGGAAGAGATGTATTCAGCAGTATTCATCACAGAAGATGAACAGAAGGAAATCATGGAACTACCTGTGGCTTTCTCACCTCTCAGGTAAGAATTCAAGGAGAGAAATGGTTGTGTATAGCCTCTTAGCAGTCAGATAAGATATAGCTATGGCATGGAGCTAAGGACAACAGTACTTGCTGTGCACCAATCTCTGATTGTTATCTCATGACTTTTACTTAGACTCACATTTGTCTTCTTCTGGGCCAAAATTGGAGTATAGGCTCTTTCACGAGTGTGTCTCAGACAAGAGCTCTAGAAGAACTTGATGTAGGACTCCCTTTTTGGGTATATCCAGAGATGTCAGAGTGCTAACAGGAGTTGTGCTGAGCTCACCCCCGATTTTTGCCTGGCCTGAGAAGCAAGGCATGTGCTCCTTGTTTTCAGTCATTGCTACCTACTGTGAGGCTGTACCACTGAGCAGTGCAGATGTGCCCTTAAGTGTGTGATGACATTCAGAAATAATTCTCGTTAAAGGAGGAGGAAAAGCACCAGAGAAAAAGCGTTCTTTTTAAGTAAATAACAAAGGGCTCTAATCTTTGGAGGCAGTTTGTTCCCTGCATGTTTTAAAGCTTACGCTGCAGAAAGATGATACCAATTGCTGCAAAGTGCTCCTTTTATTTATTTTTTTTTAATCTTGGGAAGGGACTGAAGACAGAATTGCTCAGTAGAAGTATCTTCAGGCCCTGAAGAGTCAGAAAGCAGTGAGATCACTTTCCTTTGCATATTTTATATGTCAAACGGCTACCAGTCTCTGTCAGCCTTAGAAACTATCAGAGCCTGCAGCAGACAGCATGCCTCAGCCATAAGGACAGCCAGCTGGGCTGCCCCATCAGGCAGTGCTGCTGAGCCAACTCCATCCCCTAGCACGAACAGCAGGTTGGAGGGAGCCAAGCTTGCACCCTTGTGACAAAGTGCAGAGCAGGGAATTCAAATCCCTCCTGGGGCTTTATTGTGTTCTTCTTGCTATGCTGCCAGCCTGGAGCCTTCACAAGTTCTGTGAACCCAGGTGGAAATACTGTGTGAAACAGCTCAGCATGCTGCAGTGAATAAAACTTTAGGAGAGCCTTACAATTCCCCATAGGGGCTGTGGATGTACATACTGAGATGCTGGATGACAATATAATCTATAAAGCTCTCATGTTCACAGAGGCGTTTCTCTGTAAAGAATGAGGCCATGCTAAACAATGAGAGATTAATCATACCTCTTTCCCTTTCTTCCCACTTATATTGTGGGTCATTAGGTCTCAGGAAGATGTTAATTCTGCCTTTTATTTGTGTAGATAGAAAAAATAGATGAAAGTTCCACCTGGCTGGTGACTGAGTTACATTAAGATCTGTATCAAAATCAGCATTCATTGGTCCAAAACAACAAAGAAACAATGCTGCTTCTTGGGAGAGGGGGATATTTGTCAGGTTAGGAGGATTTTATGGAAGGATTATTTTGTCAGCTCTGCACGCAGCTCTTGCTTCTTTCCGTGGGAGCTACACATGTGAATAACAGACAGGGAAAGCTGGTGCTCCTAAAAACATCTTTCTCGTTTCAGTGATCTAAATACAGCTTAGATCATCTCAGCTTTGTTCTGGGTTGTTTCTTTCAAGGAGGATTTCCTTCTCGGGTGCTGTAGGGTGAGAATTTAGAATGAAGTAATCAAAACTGAACTGATTAGTTCTGAAATACTGTCTTGCTCCAATGCAAATCCCCTGGGCAGGCCTGCATTTACTTCAATGTGATCATGTTCTGTGTCTGGTGTTATTTATTGTGAACCCGTCAGGTCAGTGCGTTCACAACCAGAGCAACAAGTTGCAGTTCACCCTCCTTGCTTTCTTTATCAGATTTTGGTTTATTGTTGTGTTGTTTTGTTGTTGGTTTTTTTTGGTTTTTTTCCCTTGACATGCTGCTGAGAAGTGTTTTGTTGTTGTTGTTGAGCTGAGGTTAACAGTGGTTAACTGAATTCTGCTCGTGTTTCAAGTGACATTCATCTGTGTGGAGGACAGGGCCACCAATACGAGAGTTCAGTGATCAGATAAGCTGAGCAGAAATCAAAAAGGGGAAGGGAGAAGATCCAACGAAGTGTTTGAACTGAGATAACGTTTAGAGACTGGAAACTTACAACCGAGGGAGAAAAAAACTAGAGGAAATTTAAGTGAAAATGGTCCTCTATTTCATACCTATCACATTTTAAAAAACACTTGAATATTTTGTTATTTTTAATATTGTCTTGTCTTATTAATATGTACAATTTAGAACTAGTTCTGAATTTAAAATCTTCAGAAGTAGCTTATAAAGACAGAAAGCTTGGAAAGCCTTGTTGCAAAAGCAGTCAATTAGATTATTTCCTTCCAACGGTTTGCAAGAACGGGCACAAAACTTTACTTTTCTTCTACAGATTAAACTGGAAGTTCCATTAAACTGCTTCACTTCATGCCTATTAGGAAGATGGTTTCACTGGTAACTGTTTCCACTGAGGGTTAAGAGACTGTTAAGCTCTTCGGCTTTTCTATGACAAATGTTATTGAAGTGTATTGCAAAAGCTATTTTCAAATTTTAAAACAGATTGTCTCTGGAATTATGGTCTTTTACACCAACTTTCAGCTTAGACTAAACTTTTATAGTCAGGATATAAAATTCTGAATGCTTGTAAAAGAAAACTAGGCTGACTGTGGGGTCACGAAGAGCAGTGGTATAATACAGCTCTCAGCCTGGGTATACATCTCATCACAGTCCACTATAAGGAGTAAATATTACAATGACTGTTCTTCCTCATGTGCAGCTGTGTAAACATAATCCAGAACATAATAGTCTTAATGTGTAAATGATATTTTTCTTAATGGGAGAGCAGGGATAGCTCACATGTTGCACAAGTTTTCTTACAAGCATAGCCTTAGCGACAGCTACACCTCCTAATCCCAAGCACTTCAGAAACAGAACACTGGAAATACATCTTCTGGCTACATGTGAAATTAGAGGGCAGAAGCACAGGGAAATCAAAGTTTGAGCTCTCTTGAGGTAAGCCAAGCTCCGGGGTCTCTGAAAGTTGATGGGAATGGATCAGTGTATTAAAGACTGGATGAAGGACATTTATCATGGATGGTGCAGGGTTACCAAGGTTGGAAAGACAGCCTGCAGACTCTGGTCCAACCTTCGCATTCAAAGTAGGGCTAGCAGAAGGGAAAAAAATCTCACTCTATTATGTGGCCATTCAAATAAATGCTACCTCTGCTGAACTGCAAGATTGTAGCAGTGCTTGCTCAGCATCTAGATTGAGTTTGATGGACAGCAAGTCACTCTAATATCACCTCAATATAATTTTTTTTCCCTAGATCACAGTGTAAAGTGCATGTAGCAGATGAGTGAAGATTGAGTCTCTTCAGTCACCCTGTTTCTATTCTGCTAGCAGAGTACATATGAATAGCTGCCTTATGACACTTAATATCGATAAAAAACACTTTATTCATAGGCTAATTTTCTGGGGGGGAAAAAATGACTTAATACAAAGTTAGAATGCAGTCTGACTTCATGCATCTCCTCCTGGAGAATGGACAGCTGCCTTTCAGGCTTCAGAGCCATGTGTTTTGCCATCTACTTCCCCTTCTCAGAGAATGGACTAAATTAGCAGAAATTAGTGATGGTAGCAAACAAATCTATTCCAGGGTGAGACTAAAGATTTCTAATGATCCAGCTCATTCCTATTGTTGCAACATTATTACATACTTCTTAGCTAGTGCTTAATTGCTCTGCCACCAATGGAGTTAGCAGGAAAACAATAAGATTAAGAATTCTTCAAACGCTCTGCTCTCTTTAATTAGCTCCTGGCTGCAAGGAACTTGGTGAACTACTGGTGAACTCTGGCTGAGAGTTAATGCTTGTAATTTCGTGCTTTTGAGCAGGATCACTGGTATTTCCTGATAGTGTTTTTGGCCTTGAAGGTGCTGGATAATCTGTCCACTGGAAAGGGTGTTGATATTGCCCTATTTGTTACAGAGATGGTCAGGTGGCAGTGCTGAAGGGAACACCTCAAACTGTAGCAGAAAAACAAACAAACAAAACAAAACAAAACAAAACAAAACAAAAAAAAAAAAAAAAAAAAAAAAAAAAAAACAACGAGAAGCCCTGGATTTCTGCACCAGTCCTCCTCAATCTACTGCTTTCCTTTTCCATGACTGCTCTGCTTCCAGCCTGACTCCCCACGGAGCCCTCAGTGTGCAAGGTTTGTAACTCCATGGTAGTCTTAATGGAGGCATCGAGGGGTTATCAGCATGAAAATAGGTAGAATGAGTGATTAGAAATTTTCTGGAGGACAGTATGACAGGATGAATCTCATGGGCAGGAATTATTTTCCCTCCTATAATCCCAGGGAACCTAGGAGTTTCAATTAGGGCAGAAGTGCTCTGCATTTTCACACATCAATCTTTCATTGGCCTCACATCAATCATTCACTGGTTTGTGCAAATAACTTATCTCAAACAATCTTCCTCCATCAGAAACAGGCACTGTCATCTGCAAACATGCTTGAATATTTCATTGTTGCCAGATGATGTTTTCTTGTTGAGGCTTTTTGTGTGTTTCCTGAATGACATGGAAAGATAGTCCCTGTGCTCTCTGCCCTAATGAGACTGGAAAGCCAAGGTAAAGCCAGGCAGTTGCTGGTGCTGCATCCTAGAAAACCTTTTCTCTGTGATCAGTGAAAGGACAGACGAGAGGAACTGCAAACAGGGAGTTAGTTGCTCCCTTCTTTGACTACTTCAGCCACATCCAACCTAGCTGATATCAATAGTGACTGGGGCAATGACAAGGGTATCTCCAGTAGAATAAACCCCCCTGTAATTCAGGAAAAAGTTGTAGTGATCTGCTACTCCACCTAGGCTGTCACAAGTCCATGGAGCCAGATAGGATCCACCTGAGTGAGCTGATGGATGTGCTTGCCAAGCCACTCTGGACAGGCTCAAGAAGACAAAGTGCTGTGTCCTGCATTTTAGTCACAGTAACACCATGCAAATGCTACAGACTTGGGGTGGTAGCTGGGAATCTGTGCAGAGAAAAAGGATCTGGGAGTGTTGGATGACAGCCAGCTGAACATGATCCAGCAGTGTGCCTAGGTGGTCAAGAAGGCCGATGACATCCTGGCTTGTATCAGCAATAGTGCAGCCAGCAGGACTAGAGAGGTGATAGACTCTGTACTTGGCACTCTGTGAAAAAGGACTTATTGATGTCCAGTTTGGACAACATGTTCACCCCCTTCTCAGAGAAGAATATTGTAGTTGTAATTGCAAGTGCATCTAAGATGTCATTTTTATTCCTAATAACGCAATTATCATCGTGTTCAGTGACAGTAAACAGCTTCTAATACGTAGTAGACTAATTGGATTCAGGTCTTTTTTTAAGTGCATCAGTAGATGAAAAATACAAATTAACACCATCTTCCTTTGCTGCTGTGGTCATAGATGTTTCCCTCTGAAATTGCAACAGTTCCTGAAGACATGTTGAATGTCTGTTTTCGCTCTCTGTCTCATCATTTTTTTTCTCAGTCCTCTGCTCTTACAGTGGAAAAGGCTTTGAAATCAACTGCTGAAATGTGGTTCAGTTTATGGTTCATAAAGGGCTTTGGGAAACTATTTTGTATAGAATGCATGATATAAATATAGGCAGCATATTTATTCCCTTTTCTTAGTTTTAAAACGATACTATTAAGTGGCAAACACATCAAATGGGTAACATAGCTTACTGGAGCCCTACCTAACAAAAAGCACTTAAGTGGATGCTTAAAATTAAGCAGGTGATTTAATCCTCTCTTATACAGTTCTAAAACACATGCATAAGTCTCACTGAAGTCAAAGCAGGCACATTAAAGGTAAGTATATGCTAAGCACTTTGTTAAATCAAGACCTAACTCTACCTATAGTCATATCCATTTCTAATTCTGAAAAACAAGAATGTTGCAAGAGGCAGTGACATCTCAACTTCTGCCCCGATTAAATAAGTTAAAAAATCATGAATCCTAAAGCAATTACATTGCTATCATATTTCTTTCCCTTTAGATTAATCTGAAGTTTGATATGCCTTTCTATAGGATTAATATCTTAACAGCAAGGTAATAGGTAGTATGACATTTAATCTCTTTGATTAAATTCCATACTAAAACTGTCCTATAAATAAAAGAAACAATTGAGGCAGCTATAAATTATCTTCATTGTTGCAAAGTGATGGATTTAGTGGTAACAGAGGATAAAATCTCATGAGCTCATTAAAAGCTATAAGGGCTTCTTCCTTCTGCAGACCTAAAAGACATGGCCTACGGCAGGCTTTTCCACGTTCCTTTCTTTTAATGAGCAGAAACATTAAGAGGAAATAGAAGATTCTGTACGTACCCACCTATTTCGTTTTCTGCTAGTGATAACCAGATCCAAAAAGGGATCCTCTACCTCGGGTTTTATCTTGCATACCTACTGTGGACTCAGCACTATATGTCTAATGAAAGGCAATATACTTTTGGTTAATAGCCAGGATCAAATCATTTGGGGATCTGAGTCTACCACTGACCTCCACTGTGACCTTGGGCAAGTCGATGATGGCAAATTTTCAAGAGCTCAGCACTGACCATTGCAGTCAGCTCACAATGTATTAGCTATAGCCATAGTGCCAAATTAATAAGGTTTGGATGCAGTCCAGTGGACTGTGCTTTTCAAAATATTTGCTTAGAAGCATCAACTTATCACTGACCTGCTTAAAATCTGCATGCAGAAGCATGTCCCAAACATCTTAAGGCTCTGCTGTACCTGAGATGTACCTGAAGGATCCATTTCTTCTTATGCAAAACAAGCAGAAGATTGTGCCCAATCAGAAAAACTTTACTTAACGTAACAAGGCACCACCTCATCCTCTTCAATTAGAGAACCATTTTTACTGCAGATACTGATGTCCTTTTCCTTTCAGTTCAGGAATAGAAGTTTTGGCAGCTGCCAGAAGGAGAACGTGGACAAGCCTTTCATCTGAGTTTCTAGGACTTTCAATGGCTTCTGTCAGTGCATTCATTCTTCCTGTAATCAGTGTCCCTTTGGCCACTTAGAACAAACTGTCACTGACATGAAGCCCATCCTCTAGAAAGGACAGCACAGCTTCACACTCTGTGATTTAGGGTCCTATTGCACTGTCTGCCTACGATGTGTGTGATCCCTGAGGATGGAAATTGACATTGCTTAAAAAAATCAGCCTATTCATGTGATTAGAGATTCAAATGCATGGCTTTCTGCAAATATGCATTTTTAACATAAAAGGCTGCCAGCAGGGAGGACTCCCATGGTGCAGTTTGTAGGATCTTGTAAGAATTTAGTGAGATTAAGTTCCTATAAATTCCTTGAAGCATCTATACAACCTACAACACAGTTCTGCAGTGTGTTTTGTCAACTGAAACACTGCTAGGTCTTCCTCAAGTACCGCTGTCAAAACAGCAGGGCCTGCAATGCCAGGAACATCCAGATTCCTACTTGGGGGGGCTATGGGGGAAAAGCCTTACTGTGAGTAGTGTGGGTGCTGCTCTGCAGGAACAGGCTGAGTGATCTTCTCTGCCATCAGCAGAGACCAGAAAGCTTGTTTCAGCGTACTTAAACGAAAGTACAAGTGCATCCTGACCAAACAATTTCTATCTCTAATCTCAGGAGTTGTCTACAGCCACTCTTCCTTAAATCACACAAAGTCTGTCTTTGCAGAGATCCACTGATGGCGGAAGCATACTAACAAATCCTGTTAAATCACTCCATTCTTGAACTGCTTTTTAAAAACTTTGTTCTGTCTTCCTGAAGTCAATTATTTAAACATGTTCTGTTCTGACCATTTCCCTTCATAATATATTTTTGCTGAAGAAGCTAGCCAATGTATTCTTGACTGTCCTGTTCAGCTGTGCATTCTTTGATTAATATTCCAAGAAAAATTCCCACATCATGTAGCTAAATACAGTTGCTCAAACCAAAGAAAATGTCTGCTTTAAAATTTGTTTGGAAGGCAATAGTTTAGAATGGATGAACCAGAATACAGTGAGCTGAAACAAGACAAATTTGATGTAGTTAAGTTTTGTTTTTGTTGTTATTTTCTATTTGTTTTAGTTCCTTTTCCCCAAAAGCACTTCATCACTTACTGGTATATGCTGATTTGCACCTGTAAATGGCATACAACATTTTCTGCATGGGCTACTTTTCTGTTATCTGCTTTCGATATCTCTGTGTACCTTTCAAATCCTCCTGCCATATGGGTTTCAAGCACTTGGAACTAGTGAGTTTACAAGGTTTGTGTAAGTGAATGTTCAGAGGAACTTCTTTGTTTACCTTCATTGTTTGTACATCTATTGAGCCAAGAGCCTGAGAGATGCTGCAGACATTAATATTTACTAACATCACTGGTGAAGAAAAACACTCAGCTTCATGTAGGCCTCAGCCAATTTTTTTCCCAAAATTTTGCTCTTATAGCTTATTTCATCTAAGAAAACTTCTGTAACACCAAAGACTATCGCTAGAGTCACCTTGAGGGGAAAGACTTCAGCCTATAGACACTCCACTTTTATACTGGTATTTAGGTATTGTTTTGGAGGTTTTCCATGAGATGTTAAGACTTTTTTCCCTTAAGCACTGCATTAGTGTATCTCAGGTTGGCTTGCTGAACTATTCAAAGGATCAGTCTGCATGTTTTCCTTCCAGATCTTCTTTGATTTATTTGTGTAGAGGATTTAGAAAATGAGATACAGAACAGGGACTGCAGACATTGCTGGCAGTGGTCTTGGTCTAGCTGGAGGCTTGAAGAATGAGTGAAAGCTCCAGATACACAGCAATGTATGTCAAGAGGCAATACAATGGAACTGTAAATTCCAAAGTGGGATTGAGCTACACAGAAAAGGGATTTACTGGATATATTTCAACTGACCAGGAGGTAGAATTTGATGACATCCTAGGGTTGACCCTTTTAATATAGACAGACTTGAAAAGAAATATTCTGTCTTTTATGTAATGGCAAATACCCTTGAGGAGTAGGATTGTCAAACAGTGATAATCCTCTGTGTTTATTTCCAAGTGGAGAATTAGTGGTGTTGGGACTGGAATGTTTCTGTCTAGCTAACGAGAGAG